CGGCCCACTCCCGCCCGCCCGCCTGCGTACCTGCCTCGCGCTCTCTGCCATGGGGCCCGCTCGCCCGCCACAGAACCGACGCAGCTCCCGCTCGCCGTAAGACTGACTGCGCAGGCGCGTCGGGCCAGAGGCCTTCCCTCGGCCGCCTACATGACCTGCGCCGACGGAGGCTGCGCAGGCGCACCAGCCGCCCCGCTGCGAGGGGAAGGGACTCGCCTCGCCGCGAGCGCCCGGAGGAGAGCGGCGAGTGCTCGGGAAGCGCATGCGCCGAAGGGACGCGGAGCGCGCATGCTCCCGTCCGTCCCGCCCCCCTTTCTCGACAACGTGGCCTTATCGCCTCCGCGACTCCGGCCGCGCGGGGTTATCTCTCTGAGCATGTGCAGAGGGCGGGGCCCTCGCTGCCTCAGGTCGAGACAGATCCTTACAGGTGCCATTGGGCTCCAAATCAGGTTGAGATGGATATGGTTGAGAACCTCCAGGCGGGGCCTGGAGATCTCCCGGAATTGCTGATCTCCAGACTGTGCACATCCATCCCCCGCCTGGAGGAAAGGGCTGCTCCGCAGAGTGGACTCCATGGCAGGGCGCATCGCATCCCTCCCTGCTGAGACCCCTCCTTTCCCCCAAACCCCGCCGTCTCCAGGCTCCACCCTGGAATTCACTGCCACAGGAAGTGGTGGCGGCTACAAGCCTGGATGGCTCCAAGAGGGAATTAGATAAGCATCTGGAGCAGAGGTCCATCAGTGGCTATTAGCCACAAGGTGTATAGATAGGAACTCTCAGTCTGGGGCAAGGGATGCTCTGTATTCTTGGTGTTCATGGGGGGGGGGCAACAGTGGGAGGGCTTCTAGTGTCCTGGCCCCACTGGTGAACCTCCTGGTGGCCCCTGGTATTTCTGGCCACTGTGTGATACAGAGTGTTGGATTGGATGGGCCACTGGCCTGATCCAACATTATGTTCTTATGTTCACCCCCAAATCTCCAGGAATGCTCCCGCCTGGAGTGGCATCGCTGCACTCTCAGGGCAAATGCAGTTAATGGTGGAGGAAAACAGGGGGGGGGGGGTTAGTTCACCTTGTCTTCCCAGTCCCCTTCCAGTGGGCCAGGGGGGGAACTCCAAACACCCACC